TTTCATGCAGCTCTATACAATGGACTTCAAGCGTCTGCTGTTGGTGTCCAGCACCTTCAAGAAGTTCAGAATGTGGCAAGGAGATTCTTACACAGGCTACTCTGATAGTCTGTATTTCCTCAGCGCCTTGGCCACTGTGTTGGCTTCTTGTTCACCAGTGAAGTAATTTCATAAGAATGACCACACTGGGTCAGACTAATGATCCATCTAGCACAGTATCTTGTTTTCCGACAGTGGCCTGTGCCAGGTGCTTCAGAAGGCATGAAAAGAACAAGGCATTTATTGAATTATCCATCCCCTGTCGTTCAGCCCCAGCTTCTGGCACTCAGAGGCTTAGTAACACCCAAAGCATCCCTGGTTGCATCCCTGACCATCTTGGGTAATAGCCATTGATAGACTTACTCCCCATGAACTTGTCTAATTTTTTTTTTAACCCATTCATACTTTTGGCCTTCACAACATCCGCTGGCAAGGAGTTCCACAGGTTGACTGTGCATTGTGTGAAGAAATACTTCCTTATGTTTGTTTTAACCCTGCTGCCTATTAATTTCATTAGGTGACCTGTGGTTCTTGTGTTATGGAAAGGGGTAAAATAACACTTCCTTATTTACTTCCTACATACCAGTCATGATTGTGTAGAGCTCTATCACATCTCTGTTTAGTCCTCTCTTGTCTGAGATGAACAGTCCCAGTATTTTTAATCCCTCTTTGTATGGAAGCTGTTCCATGCCCCAATCATTTTTGTTATCCTTCTCCATACTTTTTCCAATTCTAATATATTGTTTTTTGAGATGGGGTGACCAAATTGCATGCAGTATTCAAGGTGTGGGTATAGCATGGATTTCTGTAGTGTCATCATATTTTCTGTCTTCTTATATTTCCCTCTGGTAATGGTTCCTAACACGGTTAGCTTTTTGTCTGCTGCTGCATATCAAGCAGATGTGTTCAGAGAACTATCCACAATGATTCCAAGATCTCTCTCTTCCTTCTATCAGTTTCAACTGCCCTACATGTCTGAACATCACCTATTTATATTCTGACTGAAGTACGAGTGATTACTCATCTGCCACAGGCATCCTTCCATATTCAGTGTTCCAGGGGTCAGGTTTGCCACCAGTGTATAATGTGTGAAAACTAATAGAATTGTATGGTTTTGAGGTATCATCATTCTGATACCTCGACCTAAATAACTGTCTCTTCCAACCACAGTGAGTGTATCTCAAAACTGTCAGGATTCCTGCCATGCTGCAAATTGGATAAATGACAGCTGGCTAAACTTAAACATTGGTAAGATGGAAATATCACTGGGGGAGTGAGGAGAATTTCACTTGTTCAGTAGAGCGCCTGACTATCAATAAGAGACACCCCAAGCTGGCTGACAAGAGTCACAATTTGTGGATACTTTTTTTTTCCCTATTGACGTTTCCACAGTGATCCATTTCACTGACATCTTGGCTGGATTTCTCAAATGAGCTTCACTAGGCACTTCCATGTACAATGACTCAGAGGTTGTAACTGCAAAGAGTCCAAACTATGAGAACGGATGACACCTGTGGGTGGCTAGTGGGGGAGATTCTTACTGTCATCTGCAAGACTTGGTGACTCTGCAGCTGTGGCCTGATCCCGAAAGACTTTGAGCACTTGCACTGAAGTAAGAGAGAGCTGTGGGTGCTGAGGATTAGGCTCTATTTTAAGGGGTAGGCTATGGTAGGGATTTTTGTTTTTTCTGTCTTTGTTTTTATATTATTAGGCCGTGTTGCCTTTATAAAAGTTTGTCATTAGTTTTTGTTTTGTAACTTTTCACACTGTTTTTTTTTAACTGTAACTAACTAAAAAGTAAGTATTATTGAGTCATTAAGGGTATTAATGAGGGCTATTAAGGGATGGAATGTCAGATCTAAACCTCACTAAAATGCATAGGAGAAGCTGAGACATTTGGTAGGATGGAATGAAAAACTGGTAATAGGCCTGCTTTAAAAAAAAAAAAAGGAACTGTTACCAGGGTCTGTTAGTTAATTTAAGGTCATCTGACTTTGAGCTTCTTTTTGTTCCAAAGCCCAATCTTGGGCCTATTAACACCTAGTGATTTGACATTTTTGTCATTATGGCCGAGATCCTCAAAGGAATTAGGTATTAGGAATTAGGTACCTAACTCCTATTGATTTCAATGGGAGCCTAAATACCTGGATCTGGGCCCATTTCACTGCAGCCTAGAACTCCTGCCCCCAGACTCTCAAGGAAGCTACCTGTTGTGTGGTGTGATTCATGTGAAAAAGGCAGCTCTGATTTCTATGCAAAGGTGCACATTCCTTGAAAAAATGACTTCCTTCTGTTTCTGCAGCCCGGTGTAAAAGCCAAATATATTTCTTTTGAATCAGACCTTTGATGTCTTTAAGAGCAAAGTTAGGAACAGAGCTACATTTAAAGATCATTTAAAGATCTTATAAGTATATGTATATGTGGATAAGTATATGTGTATGGTGTCATACAAATAGTTTCACAGTGTATTTCATAAATCCCCCCGCTCCATTTTATATGTTTTTTTATTCACTTGCATCTTGTTTTATACCATGTGGCTTCAGATATGGGACTAGATTGGGGATTGGACCTACATTTATGTTAGGAAATTAATGTTTCTCTTAATTCTTATGAAAGGTATCAGTTGGATTGCACTGGAGACTGAACCAGGAAAGTAAGTAGCAGAACAGGCTTCCCCAAGCCATCCTGACAAAACGTGCCTCCAGCATGTTATGGAAGGACTACATCTCAGAATAGGAGGGTAATTCAGTCCCCATGAGTCATTCAGTCCTTGGACTCTGCTAAGTCTGACAAAAATGCCAATTGTATTTGTGATAACATCTTTTGAGTTGTAGACAACCTGGAGAACTGGGGTAGATGCCAACAAATTCATTTTATATGGGCAACTGAACCTCCAGCAGATTTTTGGTCACTAGTGACATGAGCCAGATTTGAATAGGTGACTTAGGCTTTGTCCTCACTGATGACACAAAGGTGGTGTGTTTTTTGTTTGTCTGTTTATTTTTACGGCAAGGTAACTAACACATAATAGTTATCTCACTGTAAAATCTTCAGTGGAGACAAGGACTTATAGTGTTTATCAGGAGGTAGCTAGGTGACGTCAGTATTATGCACCCTGCCTTTGGCAGACCTTGCTTCATCTACTTAATAATAACATTAAAGTGCCTTGTCTCCGCTGTGGTTTCACAGTGGGATAGCTCATACACATTAGTTATTATCCCTAAACAAAAACACACCTACAAGTGCCTTGTATCCACTTTGGATTTTACAGCGAGATACTAATTAACTTGCTGTAAAAACACCACCTTTGTGTCAGTGAAGATAAAGCCTTAGAGGCAATTCTAGTCCCCAGAATTATCCAATACAATTATCTATACTATGTGAATAATTATGTTTACCATCCTTATTAAAGAACACTAAGAGTTATAGACAAAAAGCACTAAAGTGCAAAACATTACATTCTGTGTACGTGTGTAAAGCCTCATGTTAACATGGCACTTTTTTAATTTGGTGGAAGCACCTTTCATGTTAATTTAAGTTACAAACACAGTTATATTGTTTCCTGAATGGCAAGGAATGAAAATAATAGGGCTGTCGAGCAATTAAAAAATTAATTGTGATTAATCGCACTGTTAAACAATAATAGAATACCATTCATTTCATAGCATGATAGAATCATAGAAGATTAAGGTTGGAAGAGACCTCAGGAAATCATCTTTTCCAACCCCCTGCTCAAAGCAGGACCAACCCCAACTAAATCATCCCAGCCAGGGCTTTGTCAAGCCAGGCCTTAAAAACCTCTAAGGATGGAGATTCCACCACCCCCCTAGGGAACCAATTCCAGTGCTTCACCAGCCTCCCAGTGAAACCGTTTTTCCTAATATCCTCCCCCACTGCAACTTGAGACCATTGCTCCTTGGTCTGTCATCTGACAAACAGCCGAGCTCTATCCTCTTTGGAACCCCCCTTCAAGTAGTTGAAGGCTATCAAATCCCCCCTCACTCTTCTCTTCAGCAGACTAAATAAGCCCAGTTCCCTCAGCCTCTCCTAAGAAATCATGTGCCCCAGCCCCCTCATAATTTTCATTGCCCTCCGGGTCTTCACTAGACCCGCTAAATCAACACCCACTGCATCGATTGCTGCTGCATGGATCTCCCCACAGTGAAGACAAGTCCCTAACTGCATCTACAGTGGGTGGTTAGGTCAATCTAACTTTGTCAAACAAGGCCTGAAATCTTTCAGAGCCTTGAGAATTGTAGGTAGGTTAATGACAGGTTTCAGGTAGGTTAATGTAATTTTTAGACCAGGCCTTAAGCCCGAACCTGCAAACACTTCCTCCTGCGCTTAACTCTAGGGGTTACGCCAATAATAAAGTTTCACATGAGCATGTTTGCAGGACTGGGGCCTTACTGATCTGGTGGAACTGCTACCTTCGCTCCATTGCCTGGGTGTTCACACTAGGGTTGTCAATTCTGGTTGGAGGTATTCCTGGAGGATTCATCACATGACATAATCTTTCATTAAAGATTAATCTTTCAATCCTGGAGCTGGCTTGGCAACACTAGTTCACAGGGTGCCTTCTTCTCAGTGCCTCTGCAGACTGTCACCACAGCTGTGGAATTGTGGGCCGCTGAGGCACGTGTCATAGGAAACCTCCACCCCAGCGTGGCAGCCAAAGTCGCTGGTTTTGCATGTTCTGGGCACTCAGACTCTAGACTCCCAAGGGCTTCCCAGCTGCGCGGAAAGAAACCATGATGGGAAGGGCAGTTTCAGCCTCTTCTGCAGCTGGTGTTTCCCCTCCAGCTTCAGCTGCTCGCTTTGCCACTGACCCCGGCGAGAAGCGTCCTTGTGTGCCCGCCCTTCCTCTCCCACAGAGCGTGCTGCCTGCCGCGGGTCTCTTCGCACACCCCCCCGCAGCCAGGGAGCCACCCCCGTCCCAGGTGTGTGCGTGCTCGCAGCTGATAATACCCTCCCCCCCCCGTCCGCGGCCAGCCTAGTTACTACTTTCCAGCCGCGCTGCCGAGGCCCGGCAAACTCAGCTCAGGAGTGAGGCGGTGCTGGGCGGTGTGCGGCTGCGGGCGCCAGTCAATGGGCTAGAGAGCGCGGCGAGCATCCGTCCCCCGCGGGGCAGGCTGCGGCGGGGTGAGCCACGGGCGTGCTGGTGAGTACGAGCCGAGCGCGCCGCGGCGGCGGCCCCGGCACGCCGGGAAGGCGAAGGGGAGACGCCAGCTCTGGGGAGGGGAGCCGCTGCCCCGCGTCCTCCCTTCCTCCTCCCGCTGCGGGCGCCCGCCCCAGGGGCACTCGCCCTCCCGCTCTCTCCCTTTGTTCTCCTCGCCCCGGTCCCCGTCGGCGTCCCCGTGCGCGCCAAGCGCTGGCTGCTTTTAGCGGGGCTTTAGTGACATCGGTGCCATGTCGTGCCTGGATGCCCTGAGGGTGATTGCAGGCGGGCTTGGGTCAGTCTGGCTAACCACGGGTGTGTGTATCCACGCCCCAGGGTTACAACTGCAAGCTGCTGTGTAGACACACCCTAAGGCCTAAGTATGGCTTGGGGGGGGCTTAGGGGTGTGTGTTTTGTGTTGTTTTTTTTTTAACTGAAATAGTTATAAAGAGACCTTACACCACAGATTCCTCTGCCCCTACAGGGATGAACTGTACTAGCATAAGCAATTTAATCCAGTGCAAACTGGGTCCCTGCTAGGATTTCTTTTTTACTGCTTTAATTATATTGCTGTAGGAATGCAGTACAACTCTGTAGACTAGCCCTTAGAGGCAAAGGCTGTAGTTCATCAGAATTGGAAACAATCATCTTTTCAGTGCTGCTAAATAATGTGCATGTGATTGCAGGGAGGAGGGCCTGAAATTAACTCGTTTGAGGACTGAATAACTGCATGAACTTTTTCCGAAACCTGGATGGACTATTGTGATGACCCAGTCTGACCTGTGTAACACAGGCTCTAGAACAGGGGTGGGCAAACTTTTTGGCCCGAGGGACACATCAGGGTTGCGAAACAGTATGGAGGACTAGGTAGGGAAGGCTGTGCCTCTGCAAACAGCCTGGCCCCTGCCCCCTGACTGCCCCCCCCAGAGCCTCCAACCCCCCCTGCTCCTTGTCCCCTGACTACCCCCTTCCGGGGACCCCCTGCCCCTAACTGCCCCCCCAGGCAACCCCTATCCAACCCTCCCTCTCCCCTGACTGTCCCGACCCCTGTCCACACCCCTGACAGGCCTATCCAACCCTCTCCCCGCTCCCATGCCTATCCAACCTCCCCCCCTGCTCCCTGTCCCCCGGGAATGCTGTACTTAACTGCCTGCCCTGGAACCCCACCCCCATACAACCCCCCCCATCTCCTGACTGCTGCCCCCCCCCCGAACCTCTGCCCTATCCAACTGTCCCCTGGGGCCTCCTGCCCCTTATCCAAGCCCCCTTACCCTTACCATGCCACTCAGAGTGGCAGGACAGGCTTATTTGAAAGCCTGGGAGGTGGGCGGGCGCAAGCCGTGCTACCCGCATGGCGGCATTGCTGTAGCAGAGGGGAGACAGCGGGGGAGGGGCCAGGGGTGAGCTTCCCTGGCTGGGAGCTCAGGAGCCAGGCAGGACAGTCCTGTGGGCCGCATGTGGCCCGCGGGCTGTAATTTGCCCACCCCTGCCCTAGAACTTCCCTAAAATAATTCCCACACTAACCTTTTGGCGTTTGCTTTTATGGTTTTTAAACATTTAAGTTGTCCAGAAAAATAAGGCAATGAAAATAAGTTCCAAATTTTGCTAAACAGGGTAATAAAATTTACATGCTACTTGTTGCCGCCTACTCTCTTTACATGTCTCTCAGTATAGACTCAGGCCTCATTAGAATTCAAAGGATATCTCCTCTGGTGCAGTTCTTCACTAAATATAAAGTCTAATAGCTCTTTGGACTGTCAAGCTACTTGTTCAGACTTGTTTGGTACACAAGGACCCTCCTATGAAGTATTTATGTACAACTTGAATTTGTAATCAATGTTCTAACATTCTGTAGTATTGCTCTCATCCTCCACATCTGCCTTCCTCCTCATATTGCCTAAGGCTTTGAGCAATTTTGTTCTTTAGTCAAAACTGATTTTTTTTTAAATTACATTTTAATATACTGACAAATGGGAAATACCGACTAACTTTCATGAAACTTCCTGTTTTGCTGTCCAGAGTAAAATGTACTCACTTTCACAATCCTCTTTGCCCCTTGTAAAAATGTTCCTGTAGAATTAATATTCCTAAATACAGATTACTGGAGTAATGTTCCTAAACATATAGCTATGGAATTGCAATAAATGTATGCAAATATTATGAAGCACAGGGAGATGTTTATTTAACTAGATCAGGGGCTCTCAAGCTGGGAGTTGGGACCCTTCAGGGGGTTGGGAGATTATTATATGCGGGGTCGCAAGCTGTCAGCCTGCAGCCCAAACCCTGCTTTGCATCCAGCAATTATAATGGTGTTACATTAAAAACACTTTTTGATATATTTTGGGGTGAGGGGTGTCGCACTCAGAGGCTTGCTATGTGAAAGGGGTCACAGTACAAAAGTTTGAGAACACTGAACTAGATCGTTTGTTTGTTTTTTATTTATTTGTACTATTATGGCACCTACAAGCCCTAGATATGGACCAGAACCCCACTATGATAGGCACTGCACAAATACAGGGGAAAAAAAAGACAATCTCTACTCCAAAGAATAATGAGGTGTCCATCATGGGGGGGGGGAATGAGTTTAGCTGACATGTTTTTCCTCTGCATCTTTTTAGTGATGTTCTTATTAAACACTGTCCCCTCCCCGTCCCACATGCAAACTCATTTTAAAGGCTTAGCTCAAGTCCCCAGTCAAGCAAACAAAACACCCCTCCTCTTCTCTGCTGGTTTCTTTCATCAGTTTGCAATAATTTGTTTCATTTAGGCATGGGGGGAATAGCTTTCCCTCTAGTTCTGTCAATCCAAGCCCTGGTCTAACATAAACCTCCAAAGCAAGAAAATTCAAAGGTAATGTCCTCTCAACAACACTTAGCGCCCTGCCCATCCGCCAGCACACCTGAAGTTTTTTAGGAAACCCGGTCCAACATTGTTTTACCATTGAGACTAGAAGTGTCCCTTTGAAACAATTCTATCTGAATGGAAGTCTGTGAAAAGGTATATAGGATTAGTTGGCATCAAGTTCAAGGAGACAATAATATTTCTATGAGCAATAGGTTTAAAATTTGAATTGAAAAAACAAGGTAACTCCTTCATGTAGCAGAAACTAATCTTAACCGAAAGCTGCTCTAGATTCTTCCTTTGAGATTCAGGTTAATCTAGAGACTTCTTTCAGAGTAACAGCCGTGTTAGTCTGTATTCGCAAAAAGAAAAGGCGTACTTGTGGCACCTTAGAGACTAACCAATTTATTTGAGCATGAGCTTTCGTGAGCTACAGCTCACTTCGAAGTGAGCTGTAGCTCACGAAAGCTCATGCTCAAATAAATTGGTTAGTCTCTAAGGTGCCACAAGTACTCCTTTTCTTTCTAGAGACTTCTGACATTCCTAGAAGATGAGGCTGCTGTAGAGTAGACTGAGGTAAATGATGTGTCATTTTTAGGCTCCATTTCTGCAATTGTATATGTGTGAGTGGTGAACCTCCTTTCTGCATTAACCTCTTTGAAGTCAGTGGCCCTCTTCCTATGTAGAAGGGTCTGCCCATGCAGACCTGATTACTCGTTATTCTGAAATGGAGTCAAAGGATATGCAAACCACAGGTGTATGCGTGTACTGAGAGGGGGGAGGAGAAGAAGAATATGTTCCTTGGGGATAAGAAGCCATTGGATATTTAGAAACCGGTAACAGATACTTTAGCAGGGAGTGAGAATTTCTCTGGTATTCCTCCTCCACTGCAAATAATTTGTCAGGTTAGTTCCAGAAGTCAACTTCACCGTAGTAGAATTCTGTGGGGGAAACCCTGCCTGTTGGTGGTTGAGGTTCTTCCCTTCCAAATATAAATGGAGTTGAACGATTGTATTTTACAATGTTCTGGAAATGCGTTCCATACTTGTACATATGCATGTCATTGAGCCTAAATGATGCGAGTGGGAGTTTGAAAATGCAAGAATCTGAACAAATTTAGAGCTAAGGAATTGATCCACCAGCCACTGAAGTTAGTGGAAGTATTCCCATTGGACACTGGACTGTGCCCCAAGTACATTGCAATAGCAGATTATAATGAAAGTGCTGAGAGACCTTTAGGTACAATGTTGTTTGACTTTAAAACATTGTAAAATTCCTTCCATTTTTTGTGTAGTCAGGAAGTACCTTTTACTAAACTTGCTTAAATACAGAACTAAGAGTAGGCAACAGGGGTCTCATGAGAAAATACCTGAACGTCAATTGGTTAACATTGTGTGAAGTATTATCCGAAATGGAATTTTGGGAGTTAACGGAACGGCAAGTTTCTGTCTTTAAAGATATTTTCTTCTTTCCCTCTATTTAATAATGAAACCAGCTCTATGGCCAAGCTCCCCTCAGTATTTTTTTTTTCTGTCTCTTCTGTCAATATGCACCAATGTTCACTGAGTGTCTGTCCTTGCTTTGAAGTCTGTCCTCCCCTATCGTGGTTTGCACCTCTAATTGACAGATCTAATATCTGTGTGGAACAGAACAGATAATTAACGAAGAATGTATGAATATACAGCTTCAAAGAAAAGAAATGGACAGATAAGACATTTTATATTTCAACTTGAACTCTTCAGTCTTCGCAGTCAGATTTAAAAGAACACTGTCAAGTTAAAAATATTTCATTCTGAAAATATTTCTCTTAATTGTTGGTACAAGTAACACGTAGGCATATAAAATCAGAGATGGGAGAAAAATATTTTCCTCAGTTTATGAACTTTATGTAGTCATTTTCACTGTTTCCTCTATATCGTTCCTCTTTTAGAAGAATCTTTGTGAAATACACTGACTTAGGTAGAGGAAGGCCATTAAACAAAAAGTGATACTAATACGGACATTCTCATGTTAACTCTCTAAAACTCTAAGCTTCTTTAAAGGGGACAACTAAGCACTGATACTTTCCAATTGTACTTTTAAAGCGGATTTGTTCTTTCAGATATTAAACGATTCCACAAGATGTTTGCGAAAGCAACAAAAAATTTTGTGAGAGAGACTGACTGTGGCGGTGACTTGATTCCTGTATCCCGCTTGAATGACTCAGATAAATTACAGCTTCTCAACTTAGTAACAAAGAAGAAGAAATTGTGGTGCTGGCAGAAACCAAAGTACCATTTCTTGACAGTCACGCTGAATGATGTGCTTACTGAAGACAAACCTATAAAACCAGGTAAAACTATACTTGTATGACATTACAGTAGATAAGAATGCAAAGTACAATCTGTTCTAACCATTATTAAATAAAGTTCTTATAGCATGTTGCTGTAGGGTTTCTTTTGGCTCTGAAATATTCAGCACTTTTAAATATGAGATGGTTTGATCTTTTCTATGCTTGACTTGTCATTTAGCTAATAACAATACTAATAAAATGTTAGTTAAAAAGTGAAATGTCTTGCCCAGTGGGAGTAGTGTGATTGAATGCTGGAGACTCCAAATGACAGTGTTGTAAAATGTTGTTATTTTATGGCTTGACATTCTGAAGAGCTCTTTCAGAGTCAGTGTCAGGCTCCAGTGTGTGGTAATACTGTGCTGTCATAGCGCACTCTAGATGAGAGCGCACTGTGATATGCTCAGCAGTTACCCCTTGCCATTCCACAGGTGAGGTGAGCTGCATCTCATAATCCTCAAGCCCTGGGGCAAATGATGAATCTGGGGCAAATCAGTCTTGACGGCTGTCTGACCTTTTATAATACATATTTAAAAACTGTTTGTTTCCGATGCTTAATCAGCTGATGTGGAAAAAAAGGTTTTATATTGATCCCCAAAACAGAAACAGCGCAGGTAGCAGGAATGCAAGCTTTCCCACAGGTCCCCACCAATATTTATCAACCCTGACTTGGAAAGTCCAGCTCCAGTTGCATACAGAGGAGAGCTCAGTCTTCCTGCCTGTTTATTCCTTGTCATCTCTGCCAAAATTGAAGACATTTGGTCACAGGTGACTAAACCTAGATTTGATTGAGTGACCAGCAAGTGAAGGAGTCTGGGCCTGATTCTGATACTGGTTATACTGGTTTATACTAATGTGTACCAATGAAAATCTACTGGTGGTAGCAACAGTGGAAGCATTTGTGTAGACAGGGCTCAGGCATTTTTATCCCCATGTTGTCGTCTCCTGTGTGGAGTGTCTGTACTTGTGTTTCCTCAAGTTGTGTTACTCAATGGTGGGAACCACTGCTAGGCCAACATTCGAAAGGTAATAGCATGGCCAAGATCAGTATCTCTCGGCAGACATGACTATCCAACATAAACAAGTAATCTGAAGTGATCTATGTTTATAACTTGCACATTACAGTTCCCAATTTTGAGTTCTGTGCCTAAAGTGTGTTATATTTTTGGCATTAAAGGCCATGATCCAAAGCCCATTAGATCAATGGGAGTCTTTCCATTGGCTTCAGTGGACCTTGACTCAGGCCCATGATGAGACAAACCAAGATAATGGAAAATAAAAAGCTGAAAATATAGGTAGTTGAGTTGTGTATGTATTCTGTGTATGGCAGGAAAAAATCTCTAGGGTACTTTATAAAACTCTCATAGGATTTGAACTCAGTACTGTAAACATCATACATTTCCTTAAAATGCCAAAATGAAAAATAGTGTAAATTGGGGGAGAAAAGATGGAACAAACAAAAATAAGGATTGTAGGCCAGTTAACTCTTCTGTGTGACTTTATTTATCTGTTCATATTTTCCACAGGCTTCTGTTTCAGGATCTATTGTTTTCAAGTCTGCATTAGTCATTTTTTATTGTGGGCTTGTTTTTGTTTTTTTTTTCTTTTCCAAGTTGTTGTTGAGTCTGACTTTGTGAAATATGAGGGGAAGTTTGAAGACTTTGTCAGAGGAAGTATTGAAACTTCATTTGGAAAGATCAACCTGGGTGCTGGAGGAAAAGGCTTTGTAGAAAGCCAGTCTTCGTTTGGAAACCTAAAAAAGCAGGAGGCTGATTTGCAGCAGCTTATGAAAGACCTCAAGGGAAGGTATGAGTTTTAATTTTGCCATCCATGTAAAGCTTAAAAAGGAATAATGAACATGTGAAATATATCTTCAAGTGGCTTATTTTTATGCTGAATTTACACGTTGAACTTGGAGCCAAATCCTCCCTCTGTGGGGCTCTGTGTGGGTGCAGGGATCTGTTTGTTTTGGTGGTTAGTGCAGGACTGGAGCCTGAGTTTAGACAGGTTGTAACCAGTGGGAGTAACAAACCACGGGAGAGGAAAAGGGAATGCCAAAGATATGGACTAGAATCAGGCAGTTTCTTGGATTTTAAGTCTTGTGTAAGGATTGTGTAGGTCTTGATGGATCCAGTAAGAATACTTTTAATGTATATTGGTTGTTTACAAGCTAGAACGTTTTGAGGATTTTCTTCACCAGACGTCTAGGGCAAATACTCATGGAAACCAAACTTCAAATACCCAGTATTCTAGTAAGCAAGCTTTAAAATCTGCTCTCTGAGTGTTCAAGCTAGTAAAACTTGATTGCTCAAATTTAATAGGAGTGAAATACAAAAGGGGAGCAATATGTCAGTGAAAATTCATTTAAATATTAAATGAATAATCAAAGAAAACATTTTACAGCACTTTCCTATCACTAATACAAACTATCACTTATAACCTGAGGAAAAATAGACTTCTGAAGTCAGGGGCTTAGTTCCATAAGATACGGAGCACCTCCTGACAATCTCTGCGTGCCCCTAAATCCCATATAAGGGCATCATACTACAATGAGTTGCCCATGGACAGACCCCCTTTGTGGAACCCAACTTACTTCAGTGGGAATTTTGTGCACTTTTGCCTTATAGGATTGGGGCATGAATCATATGGGAGTCAAAGGTACTCAGCATTTGGTAGAATCAAGCCCTTAATCTGTTTGGATTCAATGCAACATACTTTAACAACCGTTGCTAATGCTTTGATGATGAGAGGTGGCAGGTGTAGAAATGAGATGGAGGAATTAGTTTTTTCGCTAGCTGCATGATAGTTGTCCAAAGCAGTGTAAATTTCCTTTAAACAGATCCTCTAAAAGTAATCAATTTCTCACAGTAAGGATTGCCTGCTGTTCTGCTTGTCAAAGCCTTTACAAACAGCCATTGAAAGGCACCTTGTTACTTTCTTAGTAAATTTCCTGATTAAAAACATAAATATCCTAGCAAATGTGTGTGCCATGAGTCAAAAATGAATTTATATGTAGTATAAAGGGGGGAAAAACTCTCAAGATCTAGAGTAGTTGTCATGACAGCGACACACTAAGTCATGCCTAGTATCCCCTGGAAAAGATGAGTTTTGAAAAAGCTAGTTAGCTGCTCCATTAGAATAGGCAAGTCTGCCATAGCAAATGGAAATGTACTGAAGTTAATCCAATGTCTGTGGGCTCACAATCTTCACAGTAATTAAACCGCATTTACAAACATTATCTGTATTCCACTCGGGATGGTCATAAGGTATACACCAATCTATGAATACCTAAAATGAAAATTAAGATCCCAATGATTTGTATCATGTTTGTAACTGTAGTGTATTAAATTCATACAAGCCCTAATCTAGCAAAAATATATTTGGCTTCTGAAGTGTGGGAACGCACATGGGACTGCAGAATCCTTGGTTTGTTAGACTCAAACCAATTATTGAGGCCCTTAATTTTCTGAAGGTAATATGCACTGTATATGAGTCTCACTGGATTGTTTATGCAGATTTTGCACTGGAAGTATGCCAGCACAATATGCCTGCATTGCACCCAAGCATCTGGCTCATTTTCTCTAGAAATGACACTTCATAACTTAATGCTTATGATACAAAATATATTGCCAATATTCCAGCCAGTCCTAGTTTCACTGGGAGTTGGGAGATTACAGAACAAGATTAATTTGCAGTTTTTCTGTGTCCCTGGTCATAAGCAGTATGGCCCTTAGAATTTACCATGCTGAGGCAGTTCTTTAAAATTGAAATTTCCTGTATTTGTATCTTAGTTGTTTCATGATGTGCCACAAATTTTTCTCCAGCATCTACCTATTATCTTACTCATAGAACATTATGTGATAATATTAAACACTGGTGAGCTTGAAACTGAGGGTTTGATTTTAAGCAATATATTATCAAGGGAGCGTAATTACTTGATTTCACCTAATGAAATGACTTATCCAGGGTTTGTTGGATCTATAATTATTCTGTTCATTTTTAATGTGTGTCCTAACTGTTCCTTTGCAAAAATGCAGTGCTTATTTTGCATTACTTGAATTGTGATATAATTCAGAAGTTTAAATAAAGTTTAAAAAAGAATTTGTCCTCCATGTACATAATACATGATACTGTCCTGCGTGGTGTAAAATCAGCTTCCCTCCACTTATACGTACCTTCTAAAGGAGAACCATAGTAAAGCTCAGAATTAAATTACAAAAAACCTATGGTGTATCCCCTTTTTTAGCAAGGATTTAACAACTGAATGGTGTGATGTAAGGTCCTGCATAAATAAAATTTCATTACTTTTTTACAAAATATGCCCTACAACATCTGTTAACCTAATATGAAGTATCAAAAATAATTAAAATTAAAACACTCTTGTCAAATACATGAACAAAGTGCATTTTGTGATACATTATCCTTGCTCTTTTTTGCTGTGTTTGCTGAACTAAGTTGCTATTTCACAAAATGCAGTAATTCACTGTCTTGCAGCTGCTTAGAGTGAATAAATGAGGCTCTACTACTAATCAATTTGTTAGAAAATAAGCTCAAGAATAATTGTTTTGTTTTATACCATCATAGAAGTGTAGGAGTGGAAGGGACCTCAGTAGGTCATCTAGTCCAATCTCCTGCACTCAAGACAGGACTAAATAGTGCTAGACAGTCTCTGACAGGTGTTTGGAGGTTTTTAAGAACAGATTAGACAATGAGGGAGATTGCCCCAGTGATTAATTGCCCTGACAGGAAGTTTTTCCTAATGTCCAACCTAACCCCCCCCTCTGCAATTCAAGCCCACTGCTTCTTGTCCGATCCTCAGAGACTAACAAGAACAATTTTTCACCCTCCTCTTTGTAACAACCTTTTATGTACTTGAAAACTGTTATCATGTGCCCTCTGTCTTCTCTTCTCCAGGCTAAACAAACCTCCCTCCCTGCCCCCATCTTTCCTCATAGGTCATGTTTTCTAGACTTTTAATCATTTTTGTTGCTTTTCTCTGGACTTTCTCCAATTTGTCCACATCTTTCCTGAAATGTGGCACCCAGAACTGGACACAATACTCCAGCTGAGGCCTAATCGGTGTGGAGTAGAGTGGAAGAATTACTTGCTTCCAGCTCTTCTCCTAATACATCCCAGAATGATGTCTGCTTTTTTTTTTTCCAATAGTGTTACACTGTTGACTCATATTTAGCTTGTGACCCACTATAACCTGCAGATCCCTTTCTGCAGTACTCCTCTCTATGCAATCATTTCCCATTTTGTATATATGCAATTCCTTCCTAAGTGGAGTACTTTGCATTTCATCCTATTTACTTTTGGACAAACTGGAGAAATGGTCTGATTTTGAATTTTAACCCTATCCTTCAAAGCACTCACAACCACTCCTAGTGTGGTATCGTCCGCAAACTTTATATATGTTCTCTCCATGTCATTATCTAAATCAGGGACCAGTAACCTTTGGCATGCAGCTCTTCAGGGAAATCCGCTGGTGGGCCAAGATGGTTTGTTTATCTGCAGCGTCCAACGGTTCAGCCGATCGCAGCTCCCACTGGCGGCAGTTTGCCATGCCAGGCCAATAGGGGCTGTGGGAAGTGGCAGCCAGCACTTCCCTCGGCCTGCGCCACTTCCCACAGCCCCTTTTGGCCTGGCACAGCAAAGTTCTTTAAAATGGAGCCAGTGGGAGCTGTGATTGGCCGAACCTGCAGACGCTGCAGGTAAACACACTGGCCCGGCCCGTCAGCAGATTTCCCTGACAGGCCACATGCCAAAGGTTTCTGATCCCTGCTCTAAATCATTTATGAAGATATTGAACAGAACCGGGCCCAAATTGAAATATGTTCTGGTATATTCCAACTTAAAATTCACGTTATTATTGCTTATGCAGTGAGTTAATTAGCCAGATTTATTTATATATGCCTAAACTGAGTAATGGTGGGAGTTTTATTGCTGTTAATCTTGTCCTTCTTTCCCCTCCCTATTATTTGTTCCCCTCATTTGTCAAGTAATGCATGAAATTAAATTGTAATCTCATCAAGGCAGGGACCATGTGTTTGTATTTGTTCTTTAAAGCACCTAAGGGGTTTTTGAGCACTGTTGGAAATACTTAGACTGGTAAGATACCTCCACCGGTTATCTGTTCAATGTAGATTTCAATCAGTAGTATTATATGGCTTAAGTGAACTCATAAAACGTCACCACTCAGAATTGCATACAATCAGGTGAGGGGGAATAGAGTACAGGAAGTTGGAAAGAAAATTCTGGAGCAGTGTCCCCCTTTTGAACTCAGTCAGAAGTCTTTTAGTACTCTCAGGGAAGATGTGGCATAGAGTAATTGTCTGGTGTCTCTGTAAGGGAACTGTGAAATACTGTATTTAAGGACAGGTTTCAGAGTAGCAGCAGTGTTAGTCTGTATTCGCAAAAAGAAAAGGCGGACTTGTGGCACCTTAGAGACTAACCAATTTATTTGAGCATAAGCTTCCATCAGCTACAGCTCACTTCATCGCAAAGTGAGCTGTAGCTCACAGAAACTTATGCTCAAATAAATTGAAGGATATTATAGTAAGTATTGTGTTATGGTGTGATGGTAAGTAATCAGTCAGAAAACTGATATTTTAAATGGCTTAATAAAGGAAATAATATGGAACTGTTTAGTGGAATGTGACAGTGGATTAGACTGGTGTTCTCTGCTGTCTGAGACCCGGCTACAGACTTTTGTTCTGAGAAGGAATAAGCTTTACAAGAGTTGACCTTGTAAAGTAGGAGGTAGTATCTGAATAGAAGAAATAGGCTGTTGTGTTTTATAAGTG